TTGAGTGAATACAGGTAGTCGGTCATCTTCTCAACATAGGGATCTGTGACTTCCAGGGAGGTGAAGACAAAGCAGAGAACATCCTCTTCATGATCCTGGACCTCAGCAGTCAGCTCCGACTCTTTCAGGATGATCTTTGCATCTTTCATTGCCTTCACGCAGGAATCGATCACGCTGGTTTCTCTTTCACTGTTTGTCATCCATTTCTCTAGTTTTTCAGAAGAGAACGGAGAGTTCTCTCTGTCTATGAATAACTTCAGTAACTCCTTCTCTTCTTCCTTGCCAGCTCTGATAGCCGGCAGTTTCTTTGCGTATGTTTCTTTAAGTTTATCTGCATAACAGTTTGAGACATTTTGGAAGTTTGTCAATCTCTCAAAAATGGGCGGGAAAGAATGGCTGTCTTCCAGACAGTCATTGCATCTCATCTTCAGGTTGTGAAAATCTTCCAGGGCATCTTGGACCTTTATGGCCATGCCAGGACTGAGCTCGGAAACAAGCTCAGCAGCCGACGGAAGCAACTTTTTCAGCGGCATCATCCAGACCTTCTGTGGACGACTGTTTTCATTCTTTTCTCCCAGCAGTTTTGGAAGGTGTTTGTAGGTCTTCAGAGCTTCTGTGAATGTTGTAGGGTTGCTTTCAGGAATTACGTCCCCATAGAACTTGCAGGTAAATTGCTCATTCAGAGATCTCTCTTGCTTAGATTGTTTGACGCTAACTTCAGCTTCCATTCCAAAGCCACCCTTGCTAACTGCAGCTTGAAGGCTTCCCTCAATCTTGCTTTTACTGCTCACATCTAATTTCTGACTGTCAAGCACAAAGAAAACATTAACGCCATAACTGATAGCAGTGACCACGTGTGTAGCCATACTCATCAGGTCATCATCTACTCTCAGATGGGTCTTCATCTCAGCAGGAGACATGGTGAGGTGTTTGTAGACGGTAGTAGCTTTGTATTGAAGCGTCACTCTACACTGATGTTTGGAACTTTTCTGATCATTCAGGTACTTAGCAGATCCTCCAACTTTAACCAATCCACCCATGAAACTGGCCTTCAGGGAGGCACTGACGTCCATCACAGAGGACCTCTCCTCCAGGGAATCCGAGGCGGAGATTTTAAAATCACTGCTCTGGTGATTCTCCTTTTCGGTCATGTCCTCTAGAGTTTTGTCATCCCACAGTGTGACACCTTTAAGGCATTAAACCACAAAGAAAAGATGTTACCAGCCTGATAATCTATAATTTTAACTACTAAAATATTGAAAGAATTCTATAAAATGAATTTCTAGAATCAAAATTAATTGACTTTTCTGGAGGAGACCAAAAGTTATACATTTAATAGGAACTTGTGCACTCTTCTATGGTGGTTTTTCTTAACTGCCAAACCCCAGATGTCATTTAGACGTTGGTTTTTATGCTAAATCTGGTCGATCCGTCATAGTCTTGATTTAGTGCAGAAATAATTGTTGAAAATTGGGCTGTGTTTGGACGGTCTGGTTTGGTCCTACCTTAGTCCAATAGTAGATGTTGAAAAGACGTTGCAAACCCAGTTCTCACTTTTCAACACTAGGCTTAAAACTTTCCTTTTTGATAAAGCTTCTAGTTAGAGTGGCTCA